GTGATTCTCTCTCATCATTGATGTTTCTATCTCTCTCTCCCTCTTTCTCTCTGAAATCAATAAAAATATATTTTTAAAAAACCACATATGAAAATAACTCAAAATGGATTAAAGGCAAACATAAGACCTGAAATTATAAAATTTCTGAAAGAAAAGAAATAGGAGAAAAGTTCTGTGCCACTGTCCTTGGCTTTGATTTTTTAAAAAAAATTTATTGATTTTTTACAGAGAGGAAGAGAGAGGGATAGAGAGGTAGAAACATCAATGAGAGAGAAACATTGATCAGCTGCCTCCTACACACCCCCCACTGGGGATGTGCCTGCAACCAAGGTACATGCCCTTGACTGGAATCGAACCTGGGACCCTTCAGTCCACAGGCTGATGCTCTATCCACTGAGCCAAACCGGTTAGGGCTGTTTTGTTTTTTTGTGTGTGTGTGTTTTTTTTTAATATAACACCTAGAGTTAAGTCAAAAGAAATAAAAATAAACAAGTGGACAATAAGCAAGTTGAAGAGCAATGATAGAAGTGGGCTTCCTTGTCTTGTGCCTCATCTTAGAGGGAAATCTTTTACCATCCAGTACATTCGTTGTATCTTTTTTTTGTTGTTGTTAATCCTTACCCAAGGATAATTTTTCCATTGATTTTCAGAGAGAGTGGAAGGAAGGGGTGGGGAGAGACAGAGAGAGGAAACATTAATGAGAGAGACACATCAATTGGTTGCTTCGCACATGTGCCTTGACCAGGGCAGGGGATAGAACCTGCAACTGAGGTACATGCCCTTGACCACCTGTAGGAGTTTTATGGTTCTGTTCTTACTTTTAAGTCTTTAATCCATTTAATTTTTGTGAGAGGTGTATAGAAAACTGGCCAGGGCTGTGTGTGTGTGTGTGTGTGCTTTAAATAAATGCCATTTGCCAGTGTGGGGAAGTCACTTCTATTTCTAGTTTTTTGAGTATTACCATGAAAGGATGTTGGATACTGCCAAATACATTTTCTGCACCAAGATGGTCATATCCCCCTTTGTTTTATATACATTGATCTTTGCTATGATGAACTTTCCTTGCATTCCTGGGATAAATCCCATTGTTATGGTGTATAATGCTATTTTTTTATTTTTTTAAATTAAATCTTTATTGTTCAGATTATTACAGTTGTTCCTCTTTTTCCCCCCATAGCTCCCCTCAATGCTTTTATTTTTTTAATTATATTTTTTATTGTTGATAGTATAACAGATGCCTCCCATTTACCACCCCCCCCCCCCCCCCCCCCCCCGCTCCCTGTTATTGGATTCAGTTTGCTAATGTTTTGAGGATTTTTGCATTTTTATTCATAAGGGATATTGGTTTGCAGTTTTCTTATGGTGTGTTTGGCTTTGGTATCAGGGCAATTCTAGCCTCACAGAGTGAGTTAGAAGTGTTCCATCTCAGTGGATATATTTATTTTATATCCTTTGGGTACAGAGCATCTGCGGGTTCCAGAAATTTCTTGCCTGATCCCATAGCAAAAGGACAGGATGAGATGTTCTGAGAAGCCTTTTGTTATGTGCCCCTTTCTCAACTTTTTGAAGCAACAGCAGCAAACACAAAATAGAAGGGAGAGCAAGCTTGGAGGCATAAGAAAAATTCTCCATAAGAGGTGGTACTTTAGTTGGTTTTTAAGTAATGGTTAAAATGATTATGATGTTTTATTAATAATAATAGGCAAGGCCCCTGAGTAGCTGGAAATGATAAACCTAGACATTTTGGGGCAGAAGCCCACCTTCCTTGATGTGAAGCCAGAAAAGAGCCAGAATGCTGAGTATTTTCTATTCACAGTAGAAATCTGACAGGACTTAATCTTAGCTCTCCAACTAATTTTTACTTGTTAGCTATTTGTATCCAGAGATGTCCGTTAAATTATGTTCTCTTTACTACCAACCTACCAATGAATTTGTAAGATCACATAACAGCAGAGTAGACATAAAATGTTTGTATTTTATGTTTTTTATTATGCATATTGGTTTAATGTAGTCCTACTTTTTATTTTGTTGCTTGTGGTGTCATATCCAAAAATTCATTGCCAAGACCCATTGTCAAGGAGCTTTTTTCCTGTAGGAGTTTTATGGTTCTGTTCTTACTTTTAAGTCTTTAATCCATTTAATTTTTGTGAGAGGTGTATGTAGGATAGGGGCCTAGTTTCATTGTTTTATATGTGAATACCCAATTTTCTCAGTACTATTTACTGATGAGATTGTTTTTACTCCATTGAGTATTGACTCACTTGTCTATTATTAGTTGATGCTATATGCATTATTTCTGGGCTCTTGATTCTTTCCCATTGGTCTGTGTATCTGTTCTAATGCTAGTACCACACAATTCTGATTACTGTAGCATCTATTTTATTTAGGGTTAAATTGATTTTTTTCACCATTCCCCCACCACCTTTGGCAAGCATATATAGCTTTATATAATAGCTTCAAATCAAGAAGTGTGATACCTCCCACTTTGTTCCTTTCTCAGGATTGCTTTGGCTATTTGGGGTTGATTGTGGTTTTCAGAGTAGAGGTCATTCACCTCCTATGTTATTCCTATGCATTTTGTTTTTGATGGTATTATGAATGAAACCATTATCTTTTTTCAGATAATTGTTAGTGCATAGAAATGCTACTGCTTTTTGTACATTAATTTTGCATCCTGCAACTTTAGTGAATTTGATTCCGCCTAATAGTTTTTTTGGTGGAATCTTCAGGATATACTATATGTAAAACCATGTCATCTGCAAATAGAAACAATTTTACTTCTTCCTTTCCAAGTCTGATGACTTTTATTTCTTCTTCTTGCCTGATTGCTCTAGCTAGGACTTTCAGTCCTGTGTTGAATAGGGGAGGTCAGAGGGGGAACAAAGTCAAGAACAACCTATGTTGTTTCTTTCTTGGTGATGTCATTCATTCTGAGCATTTTTTGTATGCGTAACATACTTTAATTTTTAAAAAAAGTTAGCTGAAACTTAAAAGGTGTTTCCCCACCCCCCTGCACAGATGTACTCTTTATTACATCTTCTCCCATACCATTGGGTCAAAAGCAAGACATATTCTATGTCTAAAGTTGGTGGGGGTGTAAACTCTGCCGAGTGAACCAAACAAGGGTGGGGAGGGAGGAGGAATTGTGTACAAATATTATAACAGGGTACTTTTTTATTAGCTAAAGGATTTCCTGAGGACTGTATCCTTTCCCCTTGATTACCTTATAACATTTGCTATTCTCAGATAAATTATATCCAGTTTTAAAGGAAAAAAAACCCAACTTGAATACTATACACTAATGCATTTGCAGTTGATTTATATAGGATATGGTAGTTTTTTTTATTTCTGCTAGGAACATTATCCTTTTAAAATTTACCCAGAATACAGAAGTGGCTTCAAATGAAAATTTTTTGAGTAGTGCTTCTCAAACTTTGGTGTTCATCAAAATCACCTGGTAGGATTGTTAAAACACTGATTGCTGGGCTCCACCCCAGAGGGTCAGTAAAGTTTCAGTGGGGGCTCAAGAATTGGCACTCCTAACAAGTTTCCAGGCGATGCTGTTGATGGTCCAGAATCCAAAGGTTCCCTTAAACCAGCGGTCGCCAACCTTTCGGACCTCACAGACCACCAGTGGTCCGCGGACCACTGGTTGGCGACTGCTGGTCCAGATAACTTCATTTACAGTGTCAGTTTAGCCCCAACAATCTGATTTTTTACTTGGGGGCTTTTCTTATTGTTAATTTCTCTTGAGTTTGATAAAAATGAAGCAAAACCACACATATAAAACTCTTGAACAAAATTTTATTCTAAAAATAGATCTTAGTAACAATGAAATACCCAAAGCTGGTTATTATAATAAAAAAGAAGAGGAATTCACTTTAAATGTTTCTTCTGAAAAATACAAAATTATCATTGTAATATACTGCCAACTCTCATTTATCTGTATTTGAATTTATTTATTTTATGGATTAATTAATGAAAAATTTAGATCATTGATTGGATTCTGCCTAATATATACATCTGGATTGCTTTTATCTTCAAGTTAAATACATTCTCAAAGAATGCAAACAAAATTGAACATTTGCTTTAAGGAAACATAATTAGGAAAATAATTAGGAAATGTGCTACAAAGCAAACTATTGGCTTGTATCCCCGTTTCTCTCAATTTTTACACATAACCAAAAAAAACCTGACTGTACTGAAGTACTGGTATTTAAAAGTAACAAATTATACAACTTATATACAGAGAAAATTCAACTAAATTATTTCAAACCCAAAGCACAGGGCACTAAAGGCATATAACATTTAGTACTTAAAAAGTGGTTTTATATCTTCAAAGTGCTAAAGAAAGAAGTACTCAAGAAAATTCTAGGCCTGTCTACAAAGTTCTGGCTGATTTCAGTACTGAAATATCAAGAACAAAGGGGACAAAACAACTTAAATTTAAAAGGCCCCTATTACTATTAAAGATGAGTTAGTCACATACAACTTACCTATCAGCCCACATTTTTCTCAAACTAATGTAAACACATGCTTTTCGTAATATTTCTTCCATATTGCATGTGTTGTACACATCCTGTCATATCCATACTTTGGATAATATTTATCATCCACATTCATCACATCAATTGGCCATACTGCAGTGAGCAGAAATGACCCTTTTATATAAAAATTTGTATATGGCATTCTCTATAAAGCAAAAGCTGACAACGAAAGTTATATTTAATTTCTATTAAATGCAGGTTCATGTTTATTAGGACATCTTAGCTCATTTTTAGACTGTTAGAAATTGGTATGATTTACTTTGACTAATCTAAGAAATGCTATCTTATGACTAAATACCTCTTTTGTCTTGACCCTGAGTTTTGAGTGCTGGAAATATAAACTGGAAAAGTGAAAACACTCAAATGTTGGCTAATATTAGTGTCCCCACAGTACTATGCTTTTTCTCTCCACTAACAATACATCTAAAAGTGCCTCCTCTTCAGCAAAAGAGGAGTGGTGGGAAAAATACCCCAATAAGGAATTCCTGTTTTAAAATTATTCCAAAATACATTGGTGTTTTAATATAAAAATGCAGTTTCCCCAAACTTTTTACAGTGCAGAAAAATATAATATTTTCATCTTATAGGTTTAGTAGCTTGAGGGGGGGACTCTACAGTCCTTGGCTTGAGGAACAGATTAATCTACAGTCCTGACTAGACAGAGTGCTAAATGTTATTTGGAAATCATGTAAGGGACTTTTATTTTAAAGTTACGTGTGTTTATGCTGCATTAAACATTTCTATATATTGAAAGCAGCTCTACATATCTTTAAATATTCACTAAACATGTAATTAATAGCTGGGTATAAAAAAAGCAATTTCCAGTGGTGAGGCTATTCTCACAGTAGCAAATAATCTAACTTATTTAATACTAACAGCTAAGTCTTTAAAACACTATCACGTTAAACACTGCAGTTTGCTGAAATCACAGAGGGAAAAAAGATAATTATATCAACTGCTATTGAAAGCTTGAAAGGAGTTTTTAAAAAAATATACCGGCTAACAGGGTTAAGCCCCAGTAAGGTTTCTGCTTTTATTTGATTTTTTTTTCGGGTGTGTGTGCATTTTGTTTCTAAACCAAATATTATGCTTTAAAACATAAAATACTGATGCTTTCTAAAGAGACACAAACTAAAATCATGCTTAAGACCTGGTTTACTCGTAACATTTCTGCTATGTGGCATTAGTGAACTATATCCAGCTCTGAGCAGCACTAAGTTCTAAAGACAGTCAACATCCTGAGTGTTGTGACAAGCTCCTATTTGATATGTCTTCCAGTTACTGGCCCTATGTGACCAATGCCACAAGAAAAATGCGACAGGACTTGTCTTATATATTTTCTAAAAGTGAATATAACTATTGTGTTAACTGTACGCTCCAAATGTTCATTAAAAACCCAAACCAAACCTTTTTTACCTTTAGTAAGCATGAGGAATATTTATGTAATACATTGTACATTATGTGCATGACCTGTTCATACTATTTTAAAAAAGAGAATATTGGCTTAAACTAATCGATAGGGTTGCATCAATCTTCTTTCTGTTGGTCCTTAGATTTTCTTAAATGATGGCATCATGTTCATCACTGTAATACATCAAAAGTTAAAATTACTTTGTTTTGTATCAAAACTACTTATATATTCATATTTTTAAGTAAAGTAACAAATAATTTCAAGTTTCAGAATCAAAATGAACTGTGATTCCTTTAAGTAAAAGTACCTAATATATTCTAGTGGTTAAGGATTCAAGCCGGGGTTCAGGTTGTCAAACAAGCCTAAACTTACATCTCTGCTCGGCCTCTTAGGGCTGTGTGACTTTTCACCAGTTAGCTATTATTACCTTCTTTAAAAAAGGAAACCACCATATTTCTTGAGCATTTACTATGTTCCAGACATTATACTACAGACATTACATCCATAACTCAGTTCATCTTCATAGTAACTCCATGCAGAGGATACTTTTATTTACTTTATTCACTATCCCATTCTGCAGAGGATCAGAAGCTGAGCAAGCACGTGAACTCTGGTCTTGACCACTGTGCACTGGGCTGCCTCGTTTATACAGCATGGGAAGGCACCCTGCTATCCACAGTCAACCAGACTCAAACTAAGGCTGCCTGTCCCAAACGCCATGTCTATTTCACACCATGGTCTCTCTCCACGCAACTCTAAGAAACATAGGAGCTAACATTTTAATCCGTGTCTTAATTATTACCCAATAAATGAAAACTAGAAATGCTCATTAGTACTGTACATAAAAGGTCTCAATTTCTTTAATGAGACAAACATTAAGTTCTTACTTATGGAATGCCCCCCCCCCTTTTTTATATATATAACTTCAAAGAAATTACTGGCTTTAAAATGCACTATTTTTTTTTTCTACATAGCACTAAGAAAAATACAGCCAAAGGAATTACTGGCTTTAAAATGCACTATTTTTTTTTCTACATAGCACTAAGAAAAATACAGCCAATTAAACTAAAACACAATGCTTTCTCATCCCATAGACTATAAGATATATCCTAATTTCAGAGGTGTTAAAATATGGGGGGGAAAAAACCCAAAAAATGTGTACCTGAACTCAATTAAATATGGTATTCTCATCATCTACTGGTTCCTACATGAAGATAAGACCCTTTTAGAGTCAAGCTCTGCTTCTGCCAGCACAGTGCCCTTTGTGGAGTGGGGATTCTGGACTCTGACTTACTCCACAGGGCACGCAGAATCGTGGTCACGTATGTGTGAGGAAAATTAGCCCATAAAGCTAAAATTGTGTACTTTGTAGTTAAATCAACTTAAAAGTATATTTTAATTTAATTGCTTTACTATTTTATTAACCTCAACTACATGAATAAATATTGATACTATAAAAATAAGTGGCTTTTGATTTGCTATCATCAAATGTGCTTTCTCTTTAACTGCTTAAATTTATCAAGAAAACAGATGATAAATATTTCTAGAAACACTTATGTGCTTTTAAAAATTATTGCAAATTTCAAGGCTCAATCAGTCTTTCCCAACTGTCTCTTACGTGGAAAGTCTGCGTGGGATGCATAGGCTTACAACTTAAGAAAAACAAATTTTGGGAAATGATCATCTATTCTATGGTATTTATATATATACATTAACATCAGAAGAATGAATTGGTACTTTACATATAAAACTCAAAAGAAAAACCCAGAAGGACTTTGTTGGGATACTGAAAGCTGGGAGACAATACCTCCCCAAATCCTAAGACCTGTACAATTATACGAAGGGTGAACATGGTTTCGTGATCAGGACTTGTTGATAAAACTCACCTGAAAAATAGTTTTACTGCAGATAAAATGATAAAATACATTATGCTAACAACTCATTTGATATAGGAATTTAGCAGGGGAGATATAGCTGTCAGAAGAATTTCTTCAGGTGCTTTGCCTTTGTCATCGAAAGCAAAAACCATGTTTTTACCAAGTATGTTATTTTAGTGTTACTGACAAACACAAGAATGCTAGGTCAATAGCCGTATGAAATCTGATATAGTACTTCTTACAAGTAGAGCTATAAGGAAGTAGAAAGCGTTGGCTTAACTTGGGTCTCTGATAACAAATGTATGACATTAATAAAATATATTTTTATAGGTATATATATCCATTTTTTGGGGTAAAAAATTATAATTAGAAGCTGTACACAAATAATTTACTTTGGGTATAGAGGATTAATGGGAATATAATTCATAAATCTATGAATTTCTAATATCAGAGATGAACATTCCCCTATTACTGACATTTTGTCATGATATTTAAATAAAGAAATACAGAAGTAATAATTAAAAAAGTCCTGGGTAATCAAAACTCACATGGTTCTATACTGAATGCCTCTTCTTGAATAATACATTCTGCATCCAACGTAAAGAATAGATAACATTCCCAGTGTTAATGCAATACCACCGACAAAGCTGCCAATATCAAATTTTGATCCTTTATTTTCTTTAGAATTTATAGTTGCTGTGACTAGAAGAAAACAAAACAACATAGGCTTTAGCGCTTTTTAAAAACAATGAACTAAAACTTTCTGAATCTCTATATAAGTGAACACTGAATTGGGGACAAGGGGGAATCTAAGCATAGAATGTTGCTTTCCAGTGTGTCTAGCGAGTTGCTGGGCTCTAGCTTTCTTCAGTTTATCTAACACATCTCTCTTTTTTTTTAAAAAAAAAATACTTTATTGATTTTTTACAGAGAGGAAGGGAGAGAGATAGAGAGCCAGAAACATCGATGAGAGAGAAACATCGATCAGCTGCCTCCTGCACACCTCCCACTAGGGATGTGCCCGCAACCAAGGCACATGCCCTTGACCGGAATCAAACCCGGGACCCCTCAGTCCGCAGGCTGACGCTCCATCCACTGAGCCAAACCGGTTAGGGCTAACACATCTCTTAATGAAAAACCCCCAGTACCTGCAACCCCAGGATCTTAAGGTGTTTGATAGCACTGGACTTGGATGGTCTACCAAAACCTCAGAGGCAGCAAGACTTGGGGAGTTTTTATTTTATTTTATGAATCCTCTAAAGCAGCGGTTGCCAACCTTTCGGACCTCACGGACCACCAGTGGTCCACGGACCACCGGTTGATGACTGCTGCTCTAAAGAGTTCATGCCTTAACAAAATGTCTGGGGAACATAGCTATAATCTGAAACTGGATCCAATCTGAATAAATGTTTCTAAGTGAAATTTCTCCTTTTAAATACATTGGGAATCTAAACTATTTTGTTTTTAATCATGACAAGAGCCCAATATATTAAAGTTGATTTCAATATGTAAATTGTAGTAATAAAGAAAATTAAATATATAAAAACATATAAAAGAAACTAGAAAGCCTGCTATTTTTTTCCGATAAGTGTAATCACTAGCTTTTAAATAGAACTTCAACATTGGATAACTTAAAAAGAGGACCTTCTTAAGGTTTTCGAATGCATGGTTTCACAGGCATTATATTTTCAAAAAAGCAAAAATTAAAGTGCTGAGACTCTGATACTACATACATAATTATATCTAATACCATCTTAAATAACTTTTTGGCACAAATTAATTAAAAACAAAGTTCATCATGATTTTGAAATCATGTAGACTGAGCCTGCCTAATTCCTTCCTATAATGAGGCAGAGAGTTAAAGGTCTGATAAGTTTTCACATCATAATATAAAATTCGTTAGTATAAATTACTTATTCACAGATAGGTCTTATTTGGTAGGATTATGTTAAAAACCCATTTTTTAAAAAATAATGTATTTTATTGATTTTTTATAGAGAGGAAGGGTGAGGGACAGAGAGTTAGAAACATCGATGAGAGAGAAACATCAATCAGTTGCCTCCTGCACACCCCGCACTAAGGATGTGCCCGCAACCAAGGTACATGCCCTTGACCAGAATCGAACCTGGGACCCTTCAGTCCACAGGCTGACGTTCACTGAGCCAAACCGGTCAGGGCAAGAGCACTGGGTCAACTCTATTCCTGATCTCTACAGCTAATTTATTTAATAGCAAATCATTGCCTAAATTTCTGTATTTATTTTTGCAGGAGAAATAGGTCATTTTTAGTACATACTTGTTACCGATGAAGAAATAGATGTCACTGAACTGTTGTGGGTTGTGGCCATCGTGGATGTCGACATCTGGGATGTGTGTTGTGAAACACTTGTTATTTTGGGTGTAGACTTTAAGGTGGTGGAAGTCATATTTGCTGAGACCCCTTGTGTTGTCATCTGAGAAGTTGCTGTGGGTTTCAAGGTGGCGGCTGTCACGCTTTTTGAAGAAACTGGAGTTGATGGCTTTGCTGAGGATTTCGAGGTGGTGTTTGTCACTGGGGAAACTGGGTTTGTAGATGGTTTCACAGTGCTGTGGGAAGATTCATTTCTATTGACGGAAGACACGAATGTGGTATTCCCTGGAAGGATATAAAAACAACAACATTAAAAGAGCAGAAGGGAGGGGCAGAAAGGCAGAGCAAGGAAGGAAGCGTACGATGTCAACTTTCCCACTGCAGGCTGCCAATCCTGAGGTAGGCCAGGCTGGCAGAAAGGAGCAATTCCAACTTTGAATCAGTGCAGAGTTTTATTAGTTTGGTATGATTCTGGAAACGAGAGACATGCTACTAAATACAACTCATTTGGTAAAGTGGACACACTCTGGATAATACCTTAGCTAGTGTAGGTGGAGCTGCCAGGAAAGGGGCACATGCAACACACAGTTGTTGATGCTTAGTGTTATGGGTTGAACCTGTGTCCCCCTCAAATTCATATGCTGAAGTCCTAACCTTAGGATAGGACCTTATTTGGAGAGAGGGCCTTTACCAAGCAATCAAGTTACAAAGATGTCATTAGAACGGTCCTTATAAATGGGGAAGTGGCAGTTAAGAAACTGGTGCCCTTATAAAAAAAATGGGGAAATCTGGAAGTAGACACACACTCACAGGTTAAGAAACGGGTGCCCTTAAAAAATGGGGAAATCTGGAAGTAGACACACACTCACACAGGAAGAACACCACGTGATGATGAAGGCAGAGATCAGGGGATGCTTCCTTAAGCCAAGGACCACCAAAGATGCCCAGCAAACCACCAGAACTAGGCAAGGGGCACAGAAGAGATTCTCTCACGGCCCTCGGGGGGAAGGCCACCCTGCTGACAGTCCAGCTCCAGCCTGCGAGACAACACATTTCTGTGGTTTAAGCCACCTGGCTTGTGGCCTTTGCTGTGGCAGCCCTAGGAAACCAGCACGCTCAGGTTCAGTTTTTCATTTCTTACAAATGTGTCTCTCGGCAGCTGTATTCCCTAGTGGTTGTGCTGAGCTGGCTCCCGTTACAGATCTTTGAAACGAATCACTGTGAGTTGAAGTAAGCCAGCCAATACTTGCCAAATCGTTCCCAAAACGTGGTTAGATAAAACTTGAAGTCACCTATAGGTTTCAGTTAGACAATTTCTCAATCTTAACCCCTGGTTTCAACTAACCATCACAGGAAAACGAAGGGCTGTAATAAAGTATCTGTGCACCATCGTTCCCCATAGTGCAGGGTTCAGGAGGAAAAGAGGAACAAGATAAAGAATGTACGCCCGGATCTGAGCGATGTTTTGTCGCTGCTGTGAAAATACTCCAGATTCCAAGCAAGATGGCGGCATAGGTAAACACCGGAGACTGCTGCCGCAAACAACCACTTCAAAAATACAACTAAAAGACGGAACGGACATCACCCAGAACCACAGGAAGGCTGGCTGAGGAGAGACTCTTCAACTAGAAGGAAAAATAACAGCACACCGAGGCTCAGAGGAGGCGCAGTGTGGAAAAAACTCAGGTGCGGAGGTGCGCGCGCAAAGCGGGCTGGTGGCTGAGAGCGCGGTTGTCGTTTTCGGTCAGGGGGGAGTCTCAGACTCTGAGCTCCAGATACGGGCGAATCGCTGGGGACTCGGACCCAAACGGGAGAAGCGGGAGTGTCTGGCATCAGTTGGAAGGCAGCTTTCCCTCCGAGGTTTGCAGCGGTTCCGGGGGTTCTGAGAAGCAGAGCCTCTGGGAACAGGACTGAGGGCACCATAACGGCTCCCTCCGCCCGCCCTGTTGAGCCCGCCCCGCCCAAGCCCTGCGCAGAGCCATTTGCCGGATCGCCTCAGGCAAAGGCTAGATTAGCACCTCCCCAGAGGACAGAAGTTTTCCGCGGCAGACACAGCTGATTCACACAGCCAGTCGGCCTGGTGGTCAAATCCCTCTAGTATTAACTACAACAATCAAGGCTCAACTAGAACAAGACTGCGCACAAAGACCACTAGAGGGTGCACCAAGAAAGCATAAAAAATGCGGAGACAAAAAAACATGACAGAAATGGAGGATATAGAGCTAAAAATCGCAATTTTGAGGGCTTGCAAAAATGTGCTAGAAGCTGTCAATAAACTTGAGGAGAGAGTCACGAAAACTAATGAGACCCTCGATGCTATGATAAAGAACCAACTAGAAATTAAGCATACACGGACTGAAATAAAGAATATTATACAGACACCCAATAGCAGACCAGAGGAGCGCAAGAATCAAGTCAAAGATTTGAAATGCGAAGAAGCAAAAAACACCCAACCGGAAAAGCAAAATGAAAAAAGAATCCGAAAATACGAAGATAGTGTAAGGAGCCTCTGGGACAGCTTCAAGCGTACCAACATCAGAATAATAGGGGTGCCAGAAGATGAGAGACAGCAAGATATTGAAAACCTATTTGAAGAAATAATGGCAGAAAACTTCCCCCACCTGGTGAAAGAAATGGACTTACAGGTCCAAGAAGCGCAGAGAACCCCAAACAAAAGGAATCCAAAGAGGACCACACCAAGACACATCATAATTAAAATGCCAAGAGCAAAAGACAAAGAGAGAATCTTAAAAGCAGCAAGAGAAAGAGACTCAATTACCTACAAGGGAATACCCATACGACTGTCAGCTGATTTCTCAACAGAAACTTGGCAGGCCAGAAGGGAATGGCAAGAAATATTCAAAGTGCTGAATACCAAGAACCTACAACCAAGAATACTTTATCCAGCAAAGCTATCATTCAGAATTGAAGGTCAGATAAAGAGCTTCACAGATAAGGAAAAGCTAAAGGAGTTCATCACCACTAAACCAGTATTATACGAAATGCTGAAAGGTATCCTTTAAGAAGAGGAAGAAGAAAAAGGTAAAGATACAAATTGTGAACAACAAACATGCATCTATCAACAAGTGAATCTAAGAACCAAGTGAATAAATAATCTGATGTACAGAATGAACTGGTGATTATAATGAATCAGGGACATAGAAAGGGAATGGACTGACTATTCTTGGCGGGGAAAGGGGAATGGGAGATGCGGGAAGAAACTGGACAAAAATCGTGCACCTATGGATGAGGACAGTGGGTGGGGAGTGAGGGCGGAGGGTGGGGCGGGAACTGGGAGGAGAAGAAAAAAAGAAAATACTCCAAACCGTCCAATCAGCTCCCCACTTCTGTTTTGTGGTAAGAGAACTATTTTCTGTACACAATTTTCTATGGTAGAACGAGAGCTTCCATTTATTGAGCTCTGCTCTTTATCAAATGCTGGTGATGTTTTCCAGGCACGGTGTGTACAACAAGCTCAAGCTCTGGATCAGCTCAGCTGGGTTACCACTGACAGGTTACTTAATCTGAGATTTCACTCCTTCCCCATCTACTTAAAAAAGGAATGTCACAAATACTTGGAAGAATTAACTGAGATCATTTGCGTTGAGCACTTGAGTACAGTGCCTGCTAGAGGACACGAACAATGAATGTTCTTTGTTTTATTAAATATCTCTCTCTTACACAGCGACACTGTACAGTTCCCTATAGAAAGCTGGGAGTAGGCATGGTCAGATCTCCTACTTCTATGGTTGTTATCACTGGAATAACATCATATCTGAATAACATCAGATTGAAGAGGACGCTATTGGGGATATTTTCAGTTCATGGATGTAAATATCCAAAAAGAAAAAAGTGATGCCCCAGGACTTTATCTATTAACACCAGCTGGCCACCTTCTTCTTACGGCAAGGCCCAGGGCACTCTGTAGCAGCCTGCTGTTTTTTTCCTAGTACCAAGTAAAAGTACTCATCCTTTCCAAAGTCTGGACTTATGCCAACTGTCTTTGTATAACTCTGCTGTGTTGAAATAACTTTTCTTATTCCTATAACCTCGTGCCCAAAACTATCTAAGGGTCATTTTCCCCTTGAACCTAAATGTTTAAACTTAAGGATGACAATTTGTTTTCAGCAGGGCATCACATACACACTTAGTTCAAAGTTGAAAATACATATCCAATTTAAAAAATTTTTCAGTTATTTAAAAATGACATAGTAGCTTTATATTTCCTATTACAGTTGTCAAAAATACTGAGTTATTTAAGGCATGGACCATAAATTTCTGGTGCCAGAGTTATTTTGAGGTCTGTGATTCTAAGCACAGCAGTCTGCAGCTTGAGGAAATTAAAAAAATAACTAGCTCAGTGCATGGCTCTGGGAATATTTTTAAACACTGAGAACCTCTTTCCTATAGAGAAACCAAATACCAGTGCAATCCCCGAAATGTTCATTATTTAGAAAGCAAAGAGGCCACCGCACAGTGTCAATAGACTATTTCCAAAAATTCTTCTCAATTCAAATTACCTGAGGACCAAAAATCCACAGAATTGAAAAAATCCAGGTTAAAAAAAAAAAAAAGACTCCAATAAAGAAAACGAGGCTTTAAAAAAAAGTATCATAGAGAACTGTCCATTTTCTGAAAATTCAAATATATTTTACAAGTTCCTAAATTTATAAATTAAAAAACATTCCCCAACAGGAAAATAACTATATATATGAACACAGAAAAACAACGGGGGTGCTTTAAATAAGTTACGGCATATCGGCAATGCATTTTATTTCCACATTTTAGTTGCACTATTCTCCGCTTAACCTAAATCTTATTAATGTAAGCAGGTTTGTTTACTCTGGAAAGAACTGAAAGGGGTATTTTCAAAGTAATTGTCTGCCTTACGGACAGTGAGAACTAAAAACCCTGGGACACAGTCCAGATTTGTTAAAGGAAATTCAGTCTGATATTCCCAGACTGAATACGGAGTAAAGTGGCTGAGCAGAGAGGGTCGAAAGCAGCACGGCTTTTCAAGGCGGTCAGGCTGCCACGAGACAGGCCCGAGTTGGCTGGGGCTGTGCAGACAGCGTCCAGGCTTTGTTACCTTTTTGCCATAGGTTCCATTCACTCTATTCCATACCCACCCTCAGTAACCCTGGCTAATTACAAAGAGAACATGAACCACAGTCACGGGGCGTCGGGCATGACTGACATTATTTCCTCTCTGTTGCTGCTCAAAACCTTCCAAACCTCTCATCCTGACCATCCTCACTCTCCATGCAACAGAATTCACTGTTTGC